ATTTTTTAAAGAATTATTTTATTTAACTTTATTTATTTATTTATTCATTTATTTTAATTTGACCAGATGGACAGAGTGAGAGAAAGAGAGACAGAGAGAGAGAGGGAAGGTGAAAAAGCAACCACAGGACCAGCAGTTGGCGTAATGGCTATGTCGCTGGACTCCCATGTAGTCGACCGCAGTTCGAGTCCCAGACTCGGTGGCTTAAACTCAGGCCAGGCATGTGTGCATGCATGTCCAAGATCCCGAGAGGAGAATGGAGAAGGGATTGCACTGTGACCATCCTCCCTTAGGGATGATTTCTCACTTCCTATCTCTCCATCTCCCTCTGTCTTTCTGGTGAATGCACGAGCCCTATAGCATAATCCTTTCCAACAAAAAGAAAGAAAGAAAGAGAGAGAGAGAGAGAGAGAGAGAGAGAGAGAGAGAGAGAGAAAGAAAGAAAGAAAGAAAGAAAGAAAGAAAGAAAGAAAGAAAGAGAAAAACGTAGAAAATAACATGAGTAAATGAGTAATGGTCTGGAGTTTTCAAGTTTTCTTGCTGACTTGGGCACATAGGGTACATCTGGCACAAGCCAGGATCCCCAAGTGGGCATTTCTGCCAAGGGAAGCCTCCTAGTGGAGATGTAGCAGACAGCCCAGTACACCTAGATGCAGGGACATGCAGCTACCTGATCCCAGCATGTGCAGGTGCAGAAGTTTACCCTTCTTAGGTCCAGAGAGGGGCTGTTGGCACCATTCCTGGAGAAAGACCTGGAGCTTTGCAGAGGCCTGGGAAGAGTCCAGTGGGTGGTGGGTGTTCTGTCCAATGGCTGTCACTTACTCCCTATACCAGCCCAGCTGATACCTACCCCTCCCGCCAGCTACTTCACACCCACAAAGCAATCAGGATGGTGAACCCAATCTAGTCCCCAGAGTAAGAGGGTCTATAGGGACAGGCAACACCCATCATGGCACATGAAGTAACTTCTTCATAATTGGTTAATAGGTTAGGGCAGAATGTACTGTTGTGTCCCCAGGAATAACATCTTGGGAGAGGATATAGATGGCATATATCTGGAACTGTGCACAGGAGGGGGCTGGACAGCTCACCTGGAGTTCAGTGTACCTGGACCCCAGCCAGCTTGGGGGATATGAGACCAGGCCCATACCCTCATCAATGAAGATCTGGAGGGTGGGGAACAGCAGAGGTGCTGAACTGTCAGTGGCCATGAAGGGGTGAGCATGAGGGTGCCCCGGTGTTGGGACTTTCTGAAGACCTTGATGTCAGCCTACACATGCCCCAGTTTTTGGGAGCAGTAGCTGCACCTAGAACTGTAGGGTGGGCAGTGGACTGTGGGCTGAGAAGGGTGGAGTCCCTAAGTGCCCAGTTAATGCTCATTTGCCAGTTTGTAAATATGGGCCCCAAAACAGGTCAGGTAGCAGAGGCTATTGATACTAATCACTGTTTTTTTTTTTTAATAGTTTTTGCCATGGGGTGTGTTCACTCATAAGAGAGAGAGAGAGAAAGACAGTAAGGGAAAAATGAGAAATCACTCCCAGGGATTATGGCCATGCCACAATCCCTTCCTTATTCTCCTGGGATTTGGGGCATACACACATATATTCCTAGCATGATTTCTTAAAAATTTATTTATTTACATTCATTCACTATACATCATTACAGCATACAAAATTAGGTTTTTCCATCCAGAATGCACTGTATATTGGCTCAATAAAGCATATCAAAATATCTGTTATTGTCAACAAATAATTTTCCATTTCTTGTTTCCTGTATATTTTGCTTTATTTCCCATCCTTGATTTCCTATCATTCACCCTGTGCCATATCCCACCCTCCTCCCACACTGTCTCTGATATCTACTGTTGCTTTCAAGGCCTTTGCCCCCTCCACACACACACACATTTTATTGATTCAGTAAAGATCTTAATTAATCTAAAAATTATGAATAGCAAGCACAGCTGATATATACATATCCACGAAAACAAGTCTGAATTTAGGCATAAACCTCACTGAGTAGAATAAACATACTATAAAGTAGCACCCAACTTGCACTACGTATCTTACTTCAGTCATCAAATTTGTATTTTTTTTTTTTTTGTAGAGTCCTTTTGTTATAGGGTGCGTGCACTCACCAGAAAGACAGAGAAAGACCGAGAGATAGAAAGTGAGAAATCACCACCATCCCCCACGGGGTGAGGCAGGGGGGAAGGCCACACCACAATCCCTTCTCCTCCATTCTGACTTGCAGGAGAACATTTTTCTACATTGTTCACATTCATAGGGCTTCTCTCCAGTATGAGTTCTACTATGCACATTAAGAAGAGACTTCAGGGAGAACATTTTATTACACTGTTCACATTCATAGGGCTGCTCTCCTGTATGAGTTCTACTATGCACGGTGAGCTGGGACTTCCAGGAGAACATTTTCCTACATTGTTCACATTCATAGGGCTTCTCTCCTGTGTGAATTCTCTTATGTACAGTGAGGTACTCCTTGGTGGAGAATGTTTTCCCAGTGTTCACATTCAAAGGGTTTTTATCCTGTGTGTGTTCTCTGATGCTTAGTGAGATCTGACTTGCAGGAGAACATTTTCCTACATTCATAGGTCTTCTCTTCTATGTGAGTTCTCTTATGTACAGTGAGGTACCCCTTACTGGAGAATGTTTTCCCACACTGTTCACATTCAAAGACTTTTTCTCCTGTGTGTGTTCTCTGATTCTCAGTGAAATGTGACTTCAGAGAGCACATTTTCTGACATTGTTTACATTCATAGGGTTTCTTTCCTGTATGAATTTTCCAATGTCTACTCAATACTGACTTGGGATTGAAAGATTTTCCACATTCCTCACATTCATAGGATTTCTCTCCAGTGTGAGTTGCCTGATGCACAGTGAAGTATGGCTTCTTATAAAACACTTTTCCACGTATTTTATTTTCATAGAATTTCTCTCCTATGTGACTCCTCTGATGTACAGTGAGGTCTGAATTCTGAGAAAATGTTTTCTTACATTGTATACACTTATAGAGCTTCTCTCCTGTATAAGTTTTCAAATGGTCAGTAAGGGGTGTGTTCAAACACAATAAATTCCTATATTGTTTTATCTACAAATGTTCTCTCCAGTAAGAGTCATCTCATGTATAACAATAGTTGAAAGCTTTGATAATTTCTACACATAATAAGGTTTGACTTCTTTGTAATTTCTCTGGTTACCATAATTTTTTACCTCTGAAAAAATGATTTTTTATGTTTTTTATATTTATAGGGTGTTTCCCTTGTGTGCACTCACTGATGAAAAGCTAGATTTTAATTCTACAATAATAATTCCTCTTACTCTTGGGATCCAGCAGTTAGCATAATGGCTATGTCGCTGGACTCCCACGTAGTCGACCGTGGTTCATGTCCCAGGCCCTGTGGCTTAAAACTCACGCTGGGCACATGTGTGTGCGTGCCCAAGATCCCAGGAGAATGGATGAGAAGGGATTGCGGCGTGACCATCCCCCCTGGGGGGTGATTTCTCACTTTCTGTCTCTATGTCTCTCTCTCTCTGGTGAGCGCACTCGCCCTACAGTGAAAACCTCTCAAAAAAAAAAAAAAAAAAAAAGAATTCCTCTTACTCTTATGAATAGGAATCGTCCACTCTGTGTTTAAAATCAATTGCAAAAATTATTTTAAAAAATAATTTTTTGCATTCTCTGCATTTATAGTGTGCATCTTGTGTATCATCTTCTCATCTTCTACTTAATGAGACAGACTTTTTGTAAAATGGTTTCTTCCACACATGAACTATATACAGGGCAAAAAGAACTGTCTTCCCATATTCATTCTACTTACAAGCAGTCTCTGTTATATCAATTCTCTTTGGTAGAAAAAAGACAATCATTTCCATAAATTATATTTGAGAATTTATTTCACACTGCTCATATGTATTTCAAATATTGGTACTGATCTATAATAAGAAATATGTTTTTTTCTCCTTAATATGTTACTGTAGCAATTTACATTAATATTTTTGAAAGCTGAGTGGATTTATTTTGTTCCTACATGCTTCCCTTTCCTTTAATACCTTTAACAATATTCAAAATATCTACCTCCTGTCTTCCTATAATTTTACACTGAAAGATTTCCATGCATCATTTGTTTTCCCTGTCCTTTTTCACTTTCCTTTCTTATAACACTGTGTATTGTGTACTGTTTCTTTGCTAATGTCAACAGTTTTCTAGATCATCTATTTGCAGAAGTCAAAAAACACTTGTCACTTAAGAAGAAATGTTACTTAGAAAGGACTTGTAGCCAATAAAAATACATACTAATTACCCTAAGTATGTCATCCCATAGGATGCTTTAAAAAATATATACCCATTTTTTCACACTCTTATCCCAGGAAAGCATTTCTACATTTTTCTAAGTTCACCAGTACTAACATTTTGTTTTCCCCTCTCAATGAAATATAAATTCTTTAAAAGAAAATGCATTACACTAGTCCCTGAAAACTATGCACTGACTAACCTGGGAGGTTCAAGCTGGGAAGTTCTCCTAATGTCCATGGATCTCCTCCTTGCTCTAACTTGAATATCACTGCCGGTTTGGCAATGCACTGTCCTGTAAATAAAAGCAGTGTGGAATTTTGCCAAACTATTCATGTAACCTATTTGAAGAGTAACAATGGCTCAGCTTTATCAGCTGTGCTGTGCAATAAAGGGGCTGATTTGGGCATTTTCTTAAAGAGGAGTGTCACTAACATTAACCACGGAGTAAAATCTGATTCCTAAACAGGATTAAACATTATGAAACCCTTGTACATTTACTATGAAAGGAGACAGTAATTACTTCAGAGAGCTTCATGGGAGATCCACTAACCCAAAAACATCAGGTTGCTGTAGGTCTCCAGCATCACATCCTTGTATAGAATCTTCTGAGCATCTTCCAGGTCCTGCCACTCCTCTCAGGTAAAGTCCATGGCAACATCCTCAAATGATATGAATCCCTGTAAAAATACATTTCCCCTCATCACCCTTGAGAAATAGAGTATAACATGGTAAATTTATTTTCTCTGTATGTTTGTATATGCTTGTCCCTCTGTATATTTCTGTACTCTTTGTAAAGAGAGAAAAAAATAAAGTACAAACATTCTATCTCTTTGGTAACTTATTCATTGCTAAATTTATTCCAAGTATTTCTTCAGAGATCTCCAAAATGATTTTGCTGCAAGGGATGAAAGCATAATAAATATTCTGCTATGTCAAGGTGTTTATTATCTCATACAAACACATGAGTATAAATATATATCTGGAGTAATGTGTTAGATTAAGTAAATTAGACACAACTTGATGGTAACCAGTCTAAAAAAAATACAAAGGTTTTTTTATTTCTTTTTTCTGTATTATTAATTTGTTCTTCAAGCCAATGATATTAAGAACATATATGTAAATTTTCTTATGAAAATAGAACTATAGCAGTCATCCTATGAAAGCACCAAGTGTATTCCTAATGTTAATAGCAGTAGAAACAGTATATGTAGGTAAGTTATTCCTGGTCTGGGATGAAAGGCAAGGTCAGTAAAGGTGTTCAAGGAAGTGATTACAAAGTGATTTTGTATTTAAATACTTAACCTAATTCCAATAAAATATTTTATGTGCATACTGCTCATTACTCATAAGCTAAAGTATATTTACAAGCATCTTTATACTTCAGTTGTGCATTCAAAAATATTGATAGAGTTCAAATAAAGATGAATATCTCTTTATCATTTGCTAAAACACAGAGTATAAATAATATAAAGCCAAAAGAAGTGACACATTACATAACCAGGTTTGCAGTTTAATTGCCATCCACAGACTGAAGACTAAGGATACTCCGAAAGATATAACACAGTTAAAACCAAGATATTATAGGGTTAAAACCAAGTTGTGACGTGACCACCTATATCAAACCACAGAGAAATAAGAATATTGAATAGGGAACTCATCTAAAAAAATAAATAAATATGGGAACCAGCAGTTAGCGTAATGGCTGTGTCACTGGACTCCCACGTAGTCGACCGCGGTTCGTGTCCTGGACCCGGTGGCTTAAAACTCACGCCGGGCACGTGTGCGTGCGTGCCCAAGATCCGGAGAGGAGACTGGAGGAGAAGGGATTGCGGCGTGACCATCCCCCCTGGGGGATGATTTCTCGCTTTCTGTCTTTATGTCTCTCTCTGTCTGGCAAGCGCACGTGCCCTATAGTGAAAAACCTCTCTCAAAATAAATAAATAAATAAATAAATAAATAAATAAAGGGGGGGGTAGAAAAAAATTTTAGTACTTTTTTTGGCATTGAATCAAAATAGAAATTTAAATGTTTCTGTTTAAGCAGGCATATACATATTGGAGTTAAAAATTAAAACTGGGGGAAAAAACTGAGTAGTACACAGATGAATCTTGTGCACATCATCTTTGAAGTTTTAGTAGTCAAATATTTAGAAAGCAGCAGAAATTTAAGTGATAGTGGGACCAGCAGTTGGTATAATGTCTATGTTGCTGAACTCTCACGTAGTCAAATGAAGTTTGAATCCTGGATCTGGTGGCTTAAACTCATGCTGGGTGCATGTGTGTGTGTGCCCAAGGTTCTGAGAGGAGAATGGAGAAGGGATTGCAGTGCAAAATCACCCCTGGGAGGTTATTTTTCATTTTCTGGCTCTCTGTCTCTCTCTTTCTGGTGGGCACATGCACCCTATAGCAAAAGCCTTTCCATAAAAAAAATAAAAAATAAAAAAAGAAAGAAAGAAAGAAAGAAAGAAAGAAAGAAAGAAAGAAAGAAAGAAAGAAAGAAATTCAAGTGATAGCTGAAGTTATTCTAATCAATGATGGTGGACCTGGGGTCAAATGGTAGGTTTAAAAGAATCAAGATGGGAACAAAAAAGTACAAAATCGCAGCTGGAGTGGTGAGAAATGTATTTCTGTTCGAACATTCACTTTACAAGCTAAGTGATAAATGTGATTCAATGTATAAAATAAGTTAAAATTAAATACAAAAAAATTTACTGATAGAGAAAGAGAATCAGACCATTTAAAATAAGAATAACTTTGTTAAATAATTAATAAAGGGTTAATGTGTTTCTGGGGGACACAGATGGAAAGTTAAAAAATCATCTCCAAGGAGGAACGTTCATGACACAATTCATTTCTCCCTTCTTTCAGGATTTAGGTTGTACAAGTACATGTGCCTACTGTGATTCTCAAGATACTGGGTTCAGGATTCAAACCATGCAATTGGCATGTGGGATCCTGCTGCATTAACTTCATTCCATAGGCTGGGTTAAATTTTTACCACTCTAGAAATTTTAAAAAATGACTTAGTGCTAATATATTTTATAATATTCATAGCTCTATCAAAACGAATTCTGTGTTGCATCCACAGAGGGTACATTTTAAAATAGTGATTATAAAAAATGCCATCAATAAAAGAAGATTTGGGAAATTGTTCTTTAACATTATACATATATATCTCAGGTTGAATGGCCGTATCACAGTTAGAGAAACACTGAAGGATAAAGATATTTTACCACAATAACTAACAATCTATGTAAGGTACTAGTCAACTGAAATTAAAGAGAGACATTAAAAAAATATGAGGGCAGGGGAGCTGGCAAGCAGGTTAAGGTGCTGGAACATTACATATCTGACCATGGTTTGAGTTCTGGAACAGGACCTGGTGGCTTGCTTTCTGGAACCCATCCCCCTCAATGCTCAGTGAGTGCATGTGCCATATAGTCAGTTAAACAATCATAATAACTATGATTTAATAATTTATGTATATCTGAGAGAGAGAGAAAGTCTATACAACTCTGTACATGTAACTTAAGGCAGATGAGTCCCAAATTTCTGATTGTGCAGTTTTAGTCCCAAACTTGGAGGCTTGAAAATCGCACCAAGTTCATGAGCATGCATACCAAACATCCTGAGAGGAGAATGGAGGAGAAGGGTTTGCAGTGTAGCCATCCCTTCTGGGGGGGAGTTTTCACTTTTCTTCTCTCTCCTTCTGGTAAGAATTCATGCACCCTATTGTAAAACCTTTTTTAAAAAATGTGTAAAAAACAGTCAGAGGCCATAGTGTATTAAAAAGATTAATTCACCAAGAAGATATAAAAATCATAAAACTTTATGCATTCAACATCAGAAAGACTGCTAAATATAAACAGAAAGACCGATTGTGATGTGCTAATTCATGTGGACTTCAACACTGTACTGTCACCTCTAGACAGATCATATAGACAAAAAGAAAAAAAGACAGAAAATTAATGATTCAATAATCCAAATAAACTAACCAACATTTACAGAAGATTTTGACAAAAACAAAATACACATTTTTCTCAGCCACACATAGAATATTTCTGAAGACTGACCACATAACAGAGAACAAAATAAGTCTTTAACACTAAAAAGAAAACAGATTATATATACCAACTTATTTGTTATTATATATAATAAAATTAAACTCCGACAGAAAGTACTTTCAAATATTCACAAATACATGAAAATTACATAATTTACCCTGAGTAGCTTCAAAATTACTGAATAAATTAAGATACAAATGAAAATTTTATGAAACAAGTAATAATTTAATCTCAACCCTCCAGATGCTTTCAAACACATCAAAAGCACTCCTAAGAGACAAGTCTACAACAATTAGCACTCACACACACGTTTTAAAAAGATGATAAAGTAACCTAATGACTTACCCCAGAAAACTGAAAAAGTGGGAACAAGATATCCCAAAAGTTTTAATAGAAGATACAAAATAATAAAAATTAGAGCAGGCATGGGACCAGCAGTTAGCGTAATGGCTATGTTGCTGGACTCCCATGTAGTTGAGCGAGGATCGAGTTCAAGACTCGGTGGCTTAAACTCACACTGGGTGTGTGTGCGTGCATGCCCAAGATCCCAAGAGAATGAAGGAGAAGGGATTGCAGTGTTGCCATCTCCCCTGGGGGGTGATTTCTTGCTTTCTGTCTCTCACCATCTTTCTGGTGAGTGCAGATGAACCTATAGCAAAAAATCTCTCTAAAAAAAAAAAAATTAGAACTGGCATAAATAAAACAGAGACTAAAAGAACAACCAAAGGTCAGCCAGTGGCATGATGGTTAAGGCAGCTGATCCTATAAGACTGACTGTACTATTTGAGTCCTGGAACTGGCATCACTGAGTGCATGTGTGCATTGCATGCCCCAAATCCCAAGAGGAAAATAAAGAGGAAGAACTACCACTCAGGAGGGATGATTTCTCACTTTCCACCCAACCTCATGTCTTTCCAGAAAGTACACATACCCTATAGCAAAGACCGAAAAAATTTTAACTAAAAGCTGGGGTTTTGAGAAAATAAACCAAACAAACTACTGAATAGAAAAGCAAAATAAAACACCCAGAAAATAAGCGTGAAAAATGCGATATTACCATGGACGGCATAGTAATACACAGATAATTATAGGTGCTTTGAGTGACTATATACCAACAAATTGAAAAACCTAGAGGGAAAGTGGCTACAGTGAACTAGATTTTTAAGGGAATGAAGATTTTCTACTAATAATTCAGCCTCCAACAAACGAGCTAGCAGTAGGGAGCCCCCCCTGCACCCCCAACCTTCTCTCTCTGTCTCTCCGTTCCTGTCTCTCCCTGCTTCTGTCTTCCCTTTTTTTTTTTTTTTTTTTTTTGTAATTTTTTTCTTTATACCCTTTTTTTTAAAAAGGCACAGTTTTTCTCTGGCTCTTAGTTCCACCTTTATTCTTGTTCATTTTTGCTCTGCTCCTCTATCCAGGCATAAGAAGCCACAGGCCTTCAGGAGAAGGTTCCACATAGCTATAGTGAACTAGATTTTTCGCGCAGCATGCAAGTGCACTGTGCGGTTTTCTACTTTGTGAGTTTTTTTTTTTTTTTTAAGAACAGTAATTACAAATTTTTTATTTTTTTTATATTTTTGTCTTTTTTCTCTTTTTGTTGTTGTTTTTCTCTGT